TGCAGCCTTTAAAGTAAAATTTTGTTGGATTTTATTTATCAAATCACTTTTGTCACTCCACCATGTGCATAAGTGTAATGAATGAGAATAATGTTCTCCTGACTCTATGCAGTCAAATACAGTTAGCAGAATGTTAAACAGTGTACAAATATGCATACAGTTTACAATACAAAATATACATAATATACACTACTTTTTATTTTTAAAAGAATATCTTTTTTCAGCAAGGACTCATTAAATTGGCCAAAAGTGACAAAGACATTTATAAAGTAAAAAAAAAAAAAAAAAATCATGCTGTTCTTTTAAAACTTTCGGTTCATTAAAGAATCTTGAAAGAAAGCAGAACAACTATTTTCGACATTGATAATAACAATAAATATTCTTGAGCACCAAATTAGCATATAAGAATGATTTCTGAAAGATCATGTGACTCTGAAGTCTGAAGAAATAGCTGCTGAAAATTCAGCTTTGCCATCACAGGAAAATACATTAAAATATTAAATATTAATATTTTAGATTAAAATATTAATATTAAAATATATTAAAAATATATTAAAATATAAAAGCAGTTCTTTAAAACTGTGATAATATTTCACAATTATTAATACTGTATTTTTTATCAAGTAAATGCATAAGAAAAATTTTTCTTACCAACCCCAAACTTTTAAACAGTGGTGTACAAAGATTTTGAACTGAACACTTAAAATATACACACACATGCATAATATACAAAACATGTTAACTTACAAATTTTTTTTATAAATGATGATGATCTGACATTTAAAAATGACTTTGATTTAAACTTGATTAAGTCATATTAAATAGTTTTTAGTTTAATAATAAAAAAAAACGGACAAACGTTGATGACAAACAGTGTATTTAATGTGTCATATATGTCTGTGGTAGTGATCTGAACATACTGTACAGGTTAGAAAAAAGCAAATATAAAGTTGACATTAGGACCAGGGAGTTAAACAAGGCACCAGCGATTACTCCAGGGGGTGTTTCTCCTGCGATTAGTCTACTAAAGTTGGCACGAACAAACATTCTCTTGCATACCAACTGATTTCTTCAAAGCAACCATGTCATCTTAAATGATCCCCAGAGTTGGGCATCTGTTTATTATGAAATATGTCATGGAAAATCAGCAAGCATTCAGCATTTTTTAGTCTTATAGAATGACATTTAAAGCAGCCTTGAATATTCTCACGGACCGACTCATATGAACTTCCCTCTTCTGTATCTGAGTTTCTGGTGCCAGAGTAGAATCCAGTGTAACTTGCCTTAGAAGTCCCCTTCTTCCCCACAAACATGTGATCAAATCAAGCATTACATAAGATCTATGATGCCTGATAATGTAGTAATTTAATTGCTCATATGTTACAGTGAAGTCCATTTTGTAATTTTGTCAAGCAGTTCCACTAACAGGCAGAGGAACTGAAAATGTATGTGAGACACAGAGACCTTTATGATTTGAAACACATTATAACGTCTCTTTGTGTGAAGACGGACCATTGTTAGAGTGGTGGCGATTTAAGCAAAGCAGACAAGTAGAGGATGTCTTTTGGAGCTGCTCTACATAAACTATTGTTGTGTTGTGTATGTGTTACTAGACAGTGACTCAACAGCAGTCACAGGATAATTAGATACTTACTGGAAACAACATCCTCTCCTTTTTGTATCATGGTGAGAATATAAACACCAAACAATTCTATTTAATCGCTGAAAAACATTTTCATTAGCTTAAAACCATGTGATATTCCGTCTCTGCGCATTTATTACAAATCAAAACAAGTGAGGCAATCACGGAAAAATGTCAGAACTTAACTTTAAAATGACAAGGGGATCTTTGATGAAAATGGTCAACTCTGATGTCAAGTATTATTGAGCTTGAAATTGTTTATGATAGCCTTGAGCAGTGTTGTTATAGTTAACTAAAACTACTAAAAATATTTTTTTTCAGTAATTGAAATAAAGCTGAAATAAAATAAAACATAAACATTTATATTTAATAAAAAACTCTCTAAATTATACTAAAATTAAAAATGTTTTCTGGGCAAATAACTGAAATAAATAAAAGTTGAAGTACTACATTTACTAATACTAAAACTGAAATAAAAATAAATTAAAGGGGGAAAAAACTTAAACTAACAAAAGCGCATAACAAAATAACTGAAATTGAAATTAAATTACAAATTGCAACTATAAAATAAAAGTATATAATAATAGTAATATAACAAATAATACTAAAATAACACTGTTATTGAGCGATAGTGAAGAAGCTTCAGAGTATTTTGTGACCTTTTTGATTGTTCTTTGAGACTGTCTATATGCTTGTGTACTCCTAAACATTTACATAATTAACATTTAGTAGATATCTAGTTCTGTCTTAAAAGTTGCAGTCTTTCGCTTTTTGGAAACAAATCAAATATATTTGTGACTCATCCTGCACTATAGATTCTTGTCCAATCTCTAGAATAAGCTAATCATGGTTGATAGTTGTGATGTAAGTAAAGTTTGTTGGGCTATTTAAAAAAACATTTTTGAACATGCCTAAACTTCCTGTTTCAATATATACATCATTTCAACATGCGGTCTTTAAGTTGTGAGATGTCAACTTGGCCACTTTACGTGTTGTACTTAACTTGTACTTAACTTTTCCTCCCAATGTAAAACTACTATCACCCTTTACATGGACTCTGTAATTATAATGTCATGGGAATCAGAGATACTGGTTACAGCTGAGGTCAGAGGTATCGTTTCCTGGTAGTTTTTTTTCCAGTCTTGACCTCTCCAGGGAGCTCAAATGACCCAGAGTGTATTCTGCTTTGGACACGACAGCTACTTCATGAAGTTGTCTGTCAGACTAACATTGAAAGTTTGTTACAAAGAATTTCCATTTACTATAATAAAGAAGTGCCACTCTGAGAATCATGTTCACAGTGAAAAAAAACACAACTGCCAGTCAGTCAGTTTCCGTGCAAGTGGCTTGTCTGGCTTTGCGTCATCTGATTAGATTCTTTTGTTCAGCATTTGATGTTGAGGCAACGGCGGTTTTGGCTTTATATCATAAAGCCTATATAGTGGAAAACATGATCAAGCAGGCTGAATGTATATTGAAGAGAAATCACCCAAATTTAGGCCTGTTTCACATGGCGTTTATAAGCAGTGTTGTTTACTGGTTTGTCACACCCTTCCTGGATGTTCACACTTAAGCAGTGTAGCATAAGCATTATAGAATTAAGTTTTGTTAGAACTATTTTATAATTATGGGTGTTATTATAGAAAGTAATCAATGTAGTAGCCCAAAAATCTCTTTATTTTCTGTATGGAGCCACAACAGCAGTTTTTACTTATGTGTTGCTTGTGCATGCAGTCAAACGAGCGTTGTGGCCACATCAGAACATTTTTTTGTGGTTTTCCTTATTCGTAGTGCAGTCTCACTCCTCATATCTGACTGATGATCTCGTTTATCAAATATTTAGCTTTGTTGCTTTCAGTTGTATTGTACTTTTGTGTAACATTAACAGCATTATTAAAAATAATCATTTAAATAGCATGTTTCATAATGCATGACACGAAACAACTGCAACTGAAACCAGAAGAGCAAATATGGAAATGGAACAAGCTACACTGCAAACAGAAGACCGAGTAAACAGATGCATTTATAATTGAGTTTTGAAGATGAAATTTCACAGAGATGCCGGAGGCAGGGAATTCCAGTGTCTAGAGGCTTTGTCGATTTATTGTTCAAGGAGGACAATCTGAACTTCTGAACGTATTTTTGTTGGAATTATGTACCTAGAGTATAAAACAGCTGTACAGGCTGTTACTTAATTATGTTATTTCCCAACAATTATCCATAAATTCAGATCTCTTTTGTATCAAATCTTGGGTTAATATTCTTATTTACATATTTGAGGTGTCAGTATCATAGACTGATTAAACACAGCACACAAACTGTTTATATAACGACTTGTGTCGCTCTTGCACAACACTTGTACTGTACAATCTAGCTTGTCCTGAATACATTTTCCCAGACCATGGCTGCAAGAAATGTGCTTACCCGTTTTAAAAGATGCAAGTGTGAAACGTTGCTTTGCTGGGTTTAAAAAGACATAACCTGGGGTTAAGTGCAGTGTGAAAACACACAAATGCTATTGATGGTTGTTGTGAATGGCAGGCTAACAGGAAAAAGGGCCACAATAGGAGGATTTTGATTCAGTGTTAGCTGTTGGTTGACCTCCGCGTGGATCAGGCCACTCCGCGACATCTCAGTAACTCTCATTATCGTTGGAGAAATATTCATATTCATGCATGTATGTGTGGTTTGTATGTTGGTTGTAGTAAATTTCCATTGGTCAACGGCAGCAAAACAAGGAACTGGTTTTGAATGGTTCTCCTATTCCCTATTTTTTATTTTTTTTACTTTGAGACTCTCCAGTGTTTGGAACAACAGTGAAAGGTCACAAACCTCTGGCGCTCTGAGCGTAAAGACCATCGCTACTTCCTCCCTGTTAGCTCATCTGAACCGAACCTGCTTACCTGAACCTCCCTGTAAGCACATCTGAACTGAACACAAGCGTCTTTTAAAACTGTTTATTTGACTTGAACGTAATGTGTTTCCCCTTGCTTCTCTTCTTTTTGATGTGGGCTGAGACCATCTCCACTATGTTTCCTTATGGTTTGGAAAGATGAGACATGCTTCCGCCCCAAGTGCTGGGAATCTTTGAGACTTTCCAGAGCTCTCAGAGGACAGCTTGTGTATTTCTCCTGAAATTTTCATTAAGCTATATATAACTTTGAATCTTGAGGATGGCCAAGGTGGATCAGTATTGACTTGTTTTTGGTTTCGATCTAAAAGTCTTAATCTTCAGTAAGAGAAAAGTGTATTAAGTGACAGAAATAATATTGTGTATGAATGACAGCATTCCAAGACCATTAAAGAGGTGTATGTGTTCTTACCTTAATCTTAATGTACCGTTTTTGTGCCATTGCAGTTTCGATGTGGAAAATGGCCCATCTGCAAGCTGTAGTCCTTTGGACCCCCAGGCCTCACCAGGTTCTGGCCTGGTTCTGCACACAAACTTTCCCGGCCACAACCAGCGGCGAGAGTCCTTCCTCTACCGCTCAGACAGCGACTATGACCTCTCACCAAAGTCGATGTCTCGAAATTCTTCTATCGCCTCAGAACTGTGAGTAAAGTTGTTTTAAATGTGGTAAGAGCTACTTATTAAACCTGTTGAAAACAACATTTAAAACCAGCCTGAACTGGTTTGCTGGTCTTGTCTTATATCAGCTGTGCCCAGCAAACATTCCTAGGTTGGTTTAAGTTTTTTAAGGGAAAAATGTGGCATTTTGTGGGTTTTTCCTGCACATTGCATCTGTTAAGGATGGATATATTGTAGTAAGTTCAGTTACTTTACTTTACTTTTCTTTTGTACTTTTACAAACAGTAATTACTGAATCATCTTCGCTAATGAGCCAAGTTACTAGGAAAGCACTTTAATTTATTTGTCACCACAACTAAACCATCCAGCATCTGGTAATCTGAGGACTTTGAAGTTGTTTAATATGCCTCTTTTTTCATCAACGCTAGTATTTCTGTTTCCAAACATTTCTGCGGGGTAAAGGTGGAGGCGGGGCTGATTAGTGGAGTTGATTTATGCGCTGCTGCTCACGGCAGTGACATTTGCATGCCAGAACGTATCTCAATCAAGGCCTTATTTCCCAAGCCTTCTGACAGTAACTGCCTGGAATTATATAAGAACGCATTTTCCAGAGTCGTAGATGCCAAATATCTGTTGAACCCTGAGGAGTGTGCTGGATTGTTCTTGGTAACCCATTTTTTGGTGGCATTTAGGGTCCTGAAACGGAAAGGAACCTCATCTGACAATGAGTCTAATGAGTGAGGTAGTATTACTGACTAAAAACTAGATGTTTACCATGAAAAAATGCAGGACGGGAATGTAGCCAGACCGAATAGGAGTTTGCTAAAACAATCAATAGCTATTTGGTTATTGGTTACATTTCCAGTAGTCTGCATGGCGTAAATGATGTCAAAGTCATTTCATAAAAAGAGCCAGTCTTCTTTTCTGGAATAACATTCGCCATTGAATCATTCACAGTAAGACCAAGAACATCTATTAAAAAAGTAAATAGGATCAATTTTGTTTTCATGTTGACTTTAAATTATAGTGTATGCTTTGTTTGAGTGTCAGTCGCTTAAGATGTTAATGTATTCTCACTTGATTACAGGCATGGGGATGACTTGATAGTCACACCTTTTGCTCAGGTAAACACATCAGTGTCATGTTTCTTTAAGGATAACGTTTCAAATAGACGTGTGCTTGGTTTTACCTCACAGTTTTTGTCTGTTTCTAGGTTCTAGCAAGCCTTCGAAGTGTCAGAAACAACTTTACTGTCTTGACCAACGTTCAGTGCACATCTAACAAGTGAGTATTATTGTAAACAGAAGCTGTATCTTCATCTAAACTTAAATAGACAATTCAAATAAACTAAATTCTAACTTTTTGTCTCTAAAAAATAGCAGATTTTTAAAGGATTGTTTCTGTGTTCCAAAAGATAATAATTCTGTTGATTACAGAAATGTTTGCAATATTTTTGACTTGCCCCATAGTAAAAAAAAAAAAAAATGTGTGTGCAGTAATGGACTTGTCTGTGGGGCAAGGTGTTGTATTGGAATACAAATAAAAAATTGAAATATGTATTACAAATTACACCACAAAATTGTATACGTGTTTACATGAGACTTGCGTGATAGAATCTCTTACCAGCCTGAAGAATAAAATCGCTTAACCTGTGGAAAGTTAAATCCAATCTTTTATCACCTTTGACAATACAAAGCTACTAAACCTTGTCACTTTCACATGCTATCTGTAATGAAACCAGAGAGGAATATGATATAACTATCCACAAAATACTGTTTACATGGACCAAACTCCACCAACAGGGATGATTTCAGCAACGCAGACCAAATGCAAGCTTGAAACAGTATTCTTAATGTTGCTAAAATGCCATTTTAGCCTTAAAAGCTCAAATAGCACACTTTTAATGTATGAAATGATTAATATGTGCTTCACATCTCTTGTTTTTAAGTTTTATCAAATGTAAATTATAAAAAAAATAAGCTTCATAAAATGTAGTAATATTAGTGTTCTTAATTGATTAAAAATAGTTATAGTTATTATTATTAATTAAAAAAATATATATACAGTATATATATATAGACATTTTAATTATTTTATTTTTCACAGTCCACTCTGTTGTTTGTAAGACCAACCACAAGAGGGCAGTCTTTCCAATCATTTGTTTTGCGGACTCGGCCACCCATGCACACTGACATTTCACTAGAGCCATTTTCCACTTAACATGTCACCAGTTTTCAAGATTTCAAATCGCCGCCAAAAATCACTTGCCTATGGAGAAGATTTCCACATGCCCCTAAATTCCATTTTTCCACCTGAGCGATGAGGGGAAATGGGGGAAAAAGGTGTTTACTTGGTGTTTTTCATGGAAGAACTATTTCGCCCTTCCAAATAACCATGGATCTACGTCAGGGCAATTGTACCGCACTGTTAGAGGCTTTTGTTGGGCTCTTCGCTAGTCTGTCCAAGGGCAACCCAGTTCAGATGGGCTTGCAGGGAAATTCTACGGATGTAACGAAAAGAGGACACACCCTGTTATATCATAATAATACGTCTGTATTAAAGAGGAGTGTCACATCAAATCCATGATTCACTTAAGAAAAAAATATATTGCAAAATGCACAGGCTTGAATAGAGCTTCTTTCATTCTTCTTTAATGTGGAAATATTATGGGATGATATTAGACTCAAAATGATTAATAGATGCACAATTATCCATGCACTGCATGCATTTTATACATGCATCTTACTAACCACAAACAAATACCTTTCAATTTGAGTCTGTGGAATTCAGGATTAAATGATTGTGCAGCGATTTGTACAAATACAGACATGTTTGCGAATAAAAATGTTCTGTTCTGCATTAATATATCATAAATTGCTCATGCAAAAAGGAATCTGTGCATATGTGGATCAGCATTAATTGACGTCTATTTCGAGTCGATGTTTTTCGGTTCATTTGGATTTTGAGACTTAATTTTCGCAGTTTACAGCATTTCACGTCCCCCACACACACAACTACCAACGAACAAGGCCCAGTGCAATTCATTAACGTGTACACGATTTGAAAAATTCGCAAATGTGCGTCACTACACTGAAACAAATGCTTTTCAACCGGTGTCTGCAGAGTTAAGAATTACATTAATGTGCAGCATTTTGTTCAAATAGAGACATATTTGTGAATACAAATGTTATAGTTTGTATTAAAGTATCATGATTTGTGCATGTAGCGATTAAAATGTGCATCTGTGGATCAGGTGACACGCGTGCATTAATTAATTTTGAGACTTCATTTTCGCAGTTTACAGCATTTCACATCCCCCACACACACAACTACCAACGAACAAGGCCCAGTGCAATTCATTAACGTGTACACGATGTGAAAAAATCGCAAATGTGCCTCACTACACTAAAACAAATGCTTTTCAACCGGTGTCTGCAGAGTTAAGAATTACATTAATGTGCAGCATTTTGATCAAATAGAGACATATTTGTGAATACAAATGTTATAGTTTGTATTAAAATATCATGATTTGTGCATGTAGCGATTAAAATGTGCATTTGTGGATCAGGTGACACGCGTGCATTAATTAACGTCTAGTTCGAGTCAGTCTTGTTCGGTTCATTTGGATTTTGAGACTTCATTTTCGCAGTTTACAGCATTTCACGACGCTCACACACACAACTACCAACGAACAAGACCCAGTGCAAATCATTAACGTATACACGATTTGAAAAATTCGCAAATGTGCGTCACTACACTGAAACAAATGCTTTTCAACAGGTGTCTGCAGGGTTAAGAATTACATTAATGTGCAGCATTTTGTTCAAATAGAGACATATTTGTGAATACAAATGTTATAGTTTTTATTAAAGTATCATGATTTGTGCATGCAAAAAGGAATCTGTGCATATGTGGATCAGGTGACACGCGTGCATTAATTGACGTCTAGTTCGAGTCGATCTTGTTCGGTTCATTTGGATTTTGAGACTTCATTTTCGCAGTTTACAGCATTTCACGTCCCCCCCACACACAACTACCAACGAACAAGGCCCAGTGCAATTCATTAACGTGTACACGATTTGAAAAATTTGCAAATGTGCGTCACTACACTGAAACAAATGCTTTTCAACCGGTGTCTGCAGAGCTAAGAATTACATTAATGTGCAGCATTTTGTTCAAATAGAGACATATTTGTGAATACAAATGTTATAGTTTGTATTAAAGTATCATAATTTGTGCATGTAGCGATTAAAATGTGCATTTGTGGATCAGGCAACGCGCGTGCATTAATTCGCGTCTCTTCTGAGTCGATTTTATTTGATTCATTGGAATTTTGAGACTTTAGTTCTGCCCACACACACACAGCTCGCGATCCACGCGCAGCTGAGCCTCAGAAAATCAGCGACCACTAGATGGCACTAGCCCCACTCACATGTGCGCATTCCATTGAGTACGGTTTAATGAATGTTACATTGTGTTTTCTTTGTTTCTTTCTGGTTTGGCTATTCTCCTCTGCCAGTAGAAATACAATAAAGATATTTTATTTAACTTGTTCTAACTGAACTTGTCTTAAGACACAGAATAGCTTATATTAATTTTGCCAAACAAGAACTTCGTGATGGTACCAAAAAAACATCTCCAGAATAAAGTCATTAGCCTATAATGCGAGATTAAACTCATTAAATATCCAGAAAAATGTAGAAATAAAATATTGAGAATAAAAATAATTACATTTGAAGAATAAAGTAGTTCATCAGCATCGTCAACTTCATCTTTGCAGACACTGACTCAGAAAACAGTTTAGTAATAAGTAGCCTAAATAAAATATGTTCTAGCTTATGCGGAATAGGCTATAGCCTATAAAACGCTCGTTTAGTATAGTTAAGTTTAAGTTAATTTAATAGTTTAATTAAATATAAACGTGCGATTACTAATGGCTTAAATGGGCGACTATAATAGCCCTTTTATTATTATTAATAATAATAATAATACAAGGAAGGAATAATTGACAACGTGCCGTTGAAATACAGAAAGAAAGAAAAAAACAAGGTACCGTCACGAAGTCCTTGTTTGGCAAAATTAATATAAGCTATTCTGTGTCTTAAGACAAGTTAAATTAGAACAAGTTCAATAAAACAACTTTATTATATTTCTACGGGCAGAGGAGAATAGCCAAACCAAAAAGAAACAAAGAAAACACAATGTAACATT